ACACACACACACACACACACACACACACACACACACACACACACACACACACGAGCTCCACAGCATCTGCCAAAAAAAAAATGCAACAATTAATTTCTGAATATTGCAACTGTCAACTGTGACATATGCAATAAAATAATGTACTAATCCATTTTCTGGAAAAACTATGCTTGTAATTTTCTCAATTTAAATGTCTTCAAAATGTGTTATTACTTGTTTTGCAAGCCGTGAGTTCACAGCAGACACATTTCTGTCTGCAGCATCTGGAATTTTTGATTTTTCGGGATCTTGCATTTTCAAAACTCCGGCTGTGGCTTTTACAAAGGGCCTTGTATGAATGGGTTTGGCTTGCTCACAGGGTCAGGTTTGACAAATGCCAATATGCATCGTAGCTTTTGACACGTTTCCGATACGAACCGAACGCTCTTTCATACGCCTGCCTACATTGCCTGCTGCTGACTTGTCCATACTTCTATCTTGAAAACCATGTTCTGTTAGGCCTGCCATCCTGAAACATTGATCTGTTTGACATCAGCCTCACCCATCTCCAAAATGCAAAAGATAAAAAAAAAAAAAAAATGTGCTTATTGTATTTTCTATAGTGGACAAAATATATAAAGAGCTGTTGCAAACAGCATAAAAACAAGTACATTTGATGCGACACCATTGACAAGGGGAAAACAACCTACAGCATTTTCACCCTGGTGAAGTGTAAACAGATCCAATGGGTGAGAATTGAATTGAAATCACCTTTCCACAGTTAGATTCCTTCATTCACACCCCAGGAAATGGAGGTGAGGCAAATGTGACAACAAAAAAAAGCTCACGGAGTGACCATTGGTCTCTGTTTGCAAAGTGCACGCGTGTCTGTGTACAAATGTGTGTGCCGTACATGCGTGTTTACAGAATATTTACTGTACAGTAGCATGTCCATTGATCTCTGAGGGCTTCAAGCGTGGCTGACCTCCAACAGTCACGATGGGGGCAACATGCAGGAAGCCCCTGAGCCGTGACACAGATACCGGGAAGAGGGAGGTGGTAGATACGGGAGGAAAAAAATCAATGTTTTGCCTATTCCTGAGACGCCGGTCTTTAAAAGTTGGATGAGAAGAGTGAGCGAGGAGAAAGGAGGGTTAATAGGTGAAGGGTGTTGGGAACTGAGAGCGGGACAACAGGGAAAGAGTGGGAGGAGGAAGGACGAGATGAGGGAAGAAATGGACGGCTTGCCTAAGAGTGGGAGGCAGAAGAACTCTGCCTCTCTCAACTGGCACCACTTCCTTTCTATCTACTCAGGTGGATCATTAGGCTTGATAGAATTAAACAGAATAAATCAATAAGATATATGTTCAGCGAAACATGAGAAAGACGAGAAATAAACCTGCCCCTTCATCTCTTATTTCTTCTATTATCTGCATAAATCTATGTGTACTGGCACTTCCAAGTAGGGTAAAAAATGAAAAATGCTGGCATCGTCCTCTTGGAATACATCTACGCTTCTTGGGATTTCCAAGTAGGCTAAAAAGAAGCTGTTGGCAGAGGATGTCATTCCTAATGCTGCCCTAATGCTGCTGGCTGGATGAAAAAGTTGGCGCCCAACACCAGTGTGTCAGAAACCTCGCGCTGCCCAGCGCCGCACAGCAAGTTGTTCAACTATTTACTCAATCCCTTTGAATGACATAGAGCTTGATAAAAATAGCCTTTGTGAAACTACTGGCAAAATCATATGATAAACATGAACTACACCCACAGTGAGAGAGGCCTACGTCTGTGCTTCTATAGGATCACCTCAGCAGCTCAATAACAGTGGCCTGAATGCATAGTTCTGGCTTTAAAACTGAGAGATTTCAGTAAAGCACAAAAAGACCTAACCCCAAATCCAGTGTGAATACACATTTAGATGAAAGCCTCTAGTTTATAATTCTCTATACTATGTGAATCAAACAGAGACTTCGAGCCCTCATGGCCATCCAATGTTCTAAAGGCATAAAAAAAATAAAAAAGCACTTTTTTCACCTTACTCCATGAACGACTGAATGCGTGTTGCGAGTGAATAGGGGGCCTGTTTGTTAAG